GTGGCGCCTGGCGGAGACCGTAGACTGGCCGGCGGAGGCTCCACTGGGTACCAGGAGGAAACGACCCAGTAAAGCCAGGTGGACGGCGCAGCCAGATCTCCTCGTGCAGGCTGCCCTGCAGGAACGCTGTGCTGAAGTCAAGAGAGTGAAGCTCGTAGTCACGCTGAGCAGCAACGTGCAACAGAACCCGAAGAGTGGTCATCTTCGGGGTGGGGGAGAAGGTCTGGAAGAAGTCGACCCCCTGACGCTGACTGAAGCCTCTAGCAACGTAACGAGCCTTGAAGACAGGCGGAGAACCTGGCGGCCGCTTCACCCTGAAAATCCACATGCCATCGACGATGTTCGCCCCAGGAGGGGGAACCTCGTCGACGTAGGTGCCTGTGGACTTCCAGGATGCCATCTCTGCATCCATGGCTGTCTGCCACTGAGAGGAGTAGGGACCCGAGATCGCCTCTGCGTAAGTGCGCGGAGTGGGGATGTCTAGTGCATCCGGGTCTCCCTCAAGGGCAAGCAACCAGGCCACGAGATGAGGTACAGCAGCCGCAAGAGAGTCAAAGTCCTCCTGCCTGTCCTCAAGGACGTCCGTGCCAAGAGCACACTCACCCCCGACGGACGGAGGATAGACAGACGCAGACTCAGACTCAGCAACAAGGCTAGCAGCGTAGTCTAGACGACAGGCAGCAGCAAAGTCAACCAGCTCAGCGACCAGAGCAGACGCAGCCGAGGACTCAAAGGTAGGGTCAGTGATAACAGTAGCTAGGAGACGCGTGACTGTAGGGTGCTCAGCGCGATACCGGTCAGACTCAGGGTCCGGAACGGCAGGCAAAGAGGACGCAGGAGGAGACGGTAGAGGGACACGCCGAGGAGCAGTAGAGGGACGCAGAGTCATGTAGTGAGTGCCTGGGACAGGAGGAGGACGCTCACGACGGACACGACTACCAGTGCGAGCAGGACGAACAGGCGACGCAGGACGAGACTCAGGCTCACGACGCTCTGTAAGACCTCCTGTGGGACCAGCGTAAGGAGAGGGAGCAGGGAGAGGCGAGGCAGGCGGTAACTGTGACTGCGGCTGGACAGGCGGAGGACACTCTACGGAGGGAGGAGGACAAGGAGGAGGAGCCTGCCCAAGAACCTGCTGAAGGAGCGGTACGAAGTACGGTCGCGGCCGCGCAGCGTCTCCAGAAGCAGAAGAGACTCCAGCGGCCGGGTCCTCAGTACCAGCAGGAGCTCCAACGTCCGGGTCCCCAGCACCAGCAGCAGCGCCACCGCTCGGGTCCTCAGCTCCAGCAGCAGCTCCACCAGGTGGGTCCGCAGCACCAGCAGCAGCGCCACCCCCAGGGTCCGCAGCACCGCTAGGAAGAGCACCCCCAGAGTCGGCAGCTCCAACTCCGCTAGCACCGCCAGCTCCAGAGTCCCCAGCTCCAGCAGCTCCAGTCGTAGTGCTCCCAGAACAACCAGTCCCGGCAGCTCCAGTACCCCCAGTACGAGCACCCCCAGGACGAGCAGCCTCACCCGAGAGCAAGCCTCACCCGAGAGCAAGCCTCACCCGACATGTTGTTGAACAGGTGGAGCGTTTCCAGGGACACCACTGCCTGGGCAGGTAGCAGCTCCTTGAGGGCACCCCCAACTTCCCACTTCCCAACAACCTACGAGCCTCACCCGACATGTTGTTGCAGAAGAGGAGCGTTTCCAGGAACGCCACCGCTTGGGCTGGTAGCAACTCCTTTATGGCCGCTGCTGCCTCCCTGAGGGCACCCCCAACTCCCAACGACATGAGGCTACTACACACAGCAGGCAGCTCACCCGACATGTTGTTGAACAGGTGGAGCGTTTCCAGGGAGGGACGCCACCGCCTGGGCTGAAGCAACTCCTTGAAGGCACCCCCAACTTCCCACCTCCCAACAACCTACGAGCCTCACCCGACCTGTTGTTGAACAAGTGGAGCGTCTCCAGGGACGCCACCGCCTGGGCAGGCAGAAGCTCTCAGGTGGCCGCTGCTGCCTCCATGAGGTGAGGGCACCCTGAGGGAATAGAGGTGGTGCAGCGATGGCTGGGGGAGTGGAGGGAGAAGGCGGGAAGAGGACGGCAGGTGGGGGGTTGGGGTTGGGGACAGAGGGAGTCGGGGGCTGGGTGAAATGAGAGGGGGATCCCTGATAGCTGCTGCTGCCTCCTTGCTGATGCGGTTGTTCCAGAAGTAGAGGTGGCGCAGCGATGGCTAGGGGGAGGGGACATTGGGGGAGGGGAGAAGGGAGGGGTGAGAGAAGGGAGAGGGGAGAGGGGGATAAAGCAGCTGCCTGCTGCCTGCTGCAGCCTCCTTGGATTCGCCGCTGTTGCAGAAATAGAGATGGCGCAGGGATGGCTGGAAGGCAGGAGACGAGGTGGGACAAAGGGAGGGGAACGAATGGGAGTGAGAGGGTAGGTGAGTGCGAGAGGAGTAGGTGAGTGCCTCCTTGGAGATGCCGCTGTTGCAGAAATATAGATAGCATCTTTCTCGCCAAGCGCGTTGTCTGAGAGGTTGAGCCACAGCAGCACGCGCACAGATGCACACAAAGTGTGGGCAGCAGCACTCACCTGGGAGGTGAGGGCGACAGACAGCAGCAGCGCGCACGCCTTTCTCCCCAAACGCGTTGTCTGCGAGGTTGAGTGACTCGAGCTTGCAACCCTCCAGGGCTCACGCGACCCTCGTTATCACCTGCAGTGCTTCCTCCTCCTTTGCCATTATCACACACACGCGTGCACGAGAACGGGCAGGGCACAGGCACACGCACGGGAAGAGGCACAGGCACAGGAACAGGGCAAACGCGTTGTCTGAGAGGTTGTGATTCGAGCTTGCACCCCTCTAGGGCTGACGTGACCCTCGTTATCACCTGTAGTGCCTCCTCCTACTGTGCCATTATCACACACACACGTGCACGAGAACGGGCACAGGCACACGCACGGGAAGAGGCACAGGCACAGGATCAGGGCAAACGCGTTGTCTGAGAGGTTGAGTGATTTGAGCTTGCAGGCTTCTAGCTCTGATGTGACCCTCTTGATCACCTGCAGCGCCTCCTTCTCTAGCTCCGCCGAGTTACACACACAGAGGCACACAGAGGCACACAAAGGCACACAGATGCAGAGGGTGGCGGAAAGGAGGGGTGAAAAAAAAGGGAGGATACGGGAGAAGGGAAGTGGCAGAGGGTGACCGGGGAGTGATGCAGTGGTCAGGTGTGAACTAGTGCACACAGAGAGAGTACGCTCAACGGTCGAGCAACATCACTAACACACGCATCCCGACAAAGAGGCCACCCTCCTTTCCGCCACCCTCTGCATCTGTGTGCCTCCGTCGAGTTACACACACAGAGGCACCCAGATGCAGAGGTGGCATGCAAGGAAACTGCCAGCTTGCATCCCTCCAGCGCTGATGTGACCCTCGTGATCGCCTGCAGCGCCTCCTCCTCCTCCTGTGCCATTATCACACAGGCACACGCATGGGCACAGGCACACGCATGGGCACAGGCACACGCGTGGGCACAGGCACACGCATGGGCACAGGCATAAAAATAGCATGCACATGTTGGGTGCGCCTTCATAAGAAACACAGCTAGCCATCGTCCCTCTAGTGCTGGTGTGGCCCTTGAGAGTTCTCAAAAGTCACACGAATATGGCTATCACTTGCAGTGGCGCCTAAACCTGCTCCCCATATAAGCACACACGCCCCGGCATGCGCAGACACAAAGACACAGACACAGGCAGACACACTCACAGACACAGACACAAGCACAGCTACAGGTCTGTCTAGGCATGAGCATGGGCACGGGCACAGGTACGGCATGGGCATGGGTACAGGCATGGACACGGGCGCACAGGCACATAACACGCACGTCAGTAAACACTTGAACGAGGAAGAAGCATTGTGGTGCCGAGTTGATATAACCCTTCTCTATTGGTCACGTATGCAGTGCAGCACGGTGCTTCCCAGCTGGGAAACAGGAAACACAGTTGCGACGAATTGCGAACCAACTAGTGCTCTCCCAGATTGGGTTGGTTCGGATAACCTGGTCGGCTCGGGACGCGTCACCTTTCGTCGACCCCCACGATCGATCATGCAAAATCTATCTTCCACCGTACTATAAACCCGCTGATTACGACGCGATCCTCTGACGCGATCAATGTGCAGATTGGTTACCCTATTTATCTGCAACTAACCGCGCTACAGTGTCAAACCTGACAAATATTTGTGCACATCCCCAGAAGGCAACTGATCGTCAAATCGTGACGAGCAATCGCGACAGTGTAGCTGCGCAAATGAACACGAGCTGGGCTGGGCGTGCCAGTCCTTCAGCTGCTACTCGCCACGCACACGTCACACTCCCACACCCAACTGGCCCTCACGGTTGGAATCAGTTGGTTTTGATCCACAACAAGCCTATTATGAGTTTCGGCCAGCTTCATCAGCTAAGTCCTTCAGCTACTGCTCGCCACGCACACGTCACACTCCCACACCCAACTCGCCCCTTTCCCCTTCCCCTTCCCCTTCCCTTCCCTTTCCCCCTCCCTTTCACTTCCCCCTCACCCTTCCCCTCGCCCTTCTCCCATTCTCCCCCTCTCCCTCGCCCTCCTCCCTCTTTCCGCCTCTCCTTCTCCCTCGCCCTCCTCCCCCTTTCCGCCTCTCCTTCTCCCTCGCCCTCCTCCCCCTTTCCGCCTCTCCTTCTCCCTCGCCCTCCTCCACCTTTCCCCCCTCCACCCCGTCCTCCCACCCACCGGTAGGCTGGCAATGATGTCTCTGAGGTCAGCATGCGTCAGCGTGTCCCTCGCATTGGTCAGCGCCTGGTGCGCCACGTCAGCGGCCTCCAGCGTGAACGCCTTGCTGCTGAGCTTCACCTGTTATAGGGTTACAGGGTAGCAGGGTTACAGGGTGGACATGGGTAACAACAGCATAACAGGGTAATAGGATGACATTGTAAACACGGGTAACAAGGTAACAGGATGACATGGGTAACATGAGTACATGTGCATTGTCAAGCAAGATAACATGGGGTTGGGAGCACTGGTGTAGGGGCCCAGTGGGGTTCGGGTGTATTGCAGGGGGTATGGGTGTAGGGGGTATGGGTGTAGGGGGGCATGGGTGTAGCGGGTATGGTTGTGGCAGGCACAGGTATAGCAAGCACGGGTGTGATAAGAGGTATTGTGCGGTGAGCAGGTGTTGTGAGGGTTGCAAATGGCACCTTCTTGCAGCCGTTGTTGGGCTTGAGCAAGGGCGCGAGAAGCTTCTCCGCTGCTTCCTTGTTCAGCGCCTCCCTCTTGCCGCCAGAGATGTCAAACTGCCAACAAGAAACCAGATGAAGAAACGTTGAGCGCGGAAACAGATGCAGTAGGAGCAGAACAGTTGAGCAGTCACCATACCCAACCGACACTCACCTCTTCAACTCCCCCCTCCGCAGCTCCACCCTTCTCCCTTTCCTTCTTAAACGCGCCCACCATGAGCTCGCTGGCGTGCCGCGCGTACATCATCACCAGCACGCTGCCCTTCCAACCCCCTTCAACCCCCATCCAAACCAAACCGAATCCAACCTACCCTTACCAATCCCAACCGAGATTCACCTCTTCAACACCCCCTCTACAACTGCGGCCGCTCCCCCTTCTCCGCCCTTCTTCCGTTCCTTCTTGAACGCGCCCACCATGAGCTCGCTGGCGTGCCGCACGTACATCATGACGAGCGCGCTGCCCTTCACCGCCGCGCCCCTCTCCTGCGCTTTGGCGCGCGCCTGCGTCGCCGCGAACGCCTCCGCCTCGATGCTCTCCGCCAGGCTCCGTGCGACCCCATCGTCCACGCGCTGCGCCCGGGATGGGGGTGGGGAGGGGGGGAGGGGGAGAGGGTGGGATGAGTGAGCGGAGTGAAGGGAGGCACCGCGCGCAGGTCGTGATGCCTCCGCCTCGATGCTCTCCGCCAGGCTCCACGCGACGCCGTCGTCCACACGCTGCGCCTGGATCGCGGGGAGAGGATGGGGGAGGGAGTGGGGAGGACGAAGGGGGAGAGAGTGGGGAGGAGTGAGCGAGCGGAGACACTGGCGTGCTGCCTCCGCCTCGATGCTCTCCGCCAGGCCGCGCGCGACCTCGTCGTCCACCCGCTGTGACTGGGATCGGCGGGAGGGGTGGGAGACGAAAGGGGGGAGAATCTGGTGGGAGGACGGAGGGGGACGCGAAGGGAGCGGGAAGGGTAAGGGGGAGAGTGAAGGGGAGGAAGAGAAAGGGAAGTTGCTGAAAGGTGGGACAGGCGTGCCAGGCCTAGATCACGAGTTGCGGGAGCCACACGTAGATCATTATGGCCTCCGTGTCGAACCTCGACCAGGCTAGTTGGTTTTCGAGAACTCTCAAAAACCAGCGCGTGATGCGTCAGGGTCCGTCCTCCGCCAGGCCGTGCGCCACGCCAGCGCTTGCAGAATCGGGGAGAGGGCGGGAAACGGTAGGACACGGAGGAATCGGCGTGGGCCTCTTGTGACGAGACGACGTCTGAGGCGCGTCAAATGGTGTCTCATCGCCCAAGGGAGGCCTTCTTGCGAATGCAGCGACGGCTCGTTTGACCCGATCTGCACTGCAGCATATCTTACTTCGTCGCGCACATTGTCGCACACCCGTCGCACACACCTTGTCTTTAGAGAAGCATATGCTGACGAGGTGGTGCTGATGCGATCCACGATCTTCTGGCGCGAGCCCTCGTTGGGAGGCCAAAGCCCGCTCACCGCCTTTGCCACTGCATCCGTCGCCGTCATATCCTCGTTATAAGATCTCGACCCTTTAAGAGACTTCGGCTACGCGTCGAAACGAAGAAATGTTAACGGTACAGTGTGAATAGCTGATCGAGAAGAGAATTCTGCAGGTGGATCGATGCCGACCCCGAAATGACTCTCGCGACAAGACGCGACGAGCAAGGGAACCAGTGACACTCTGGGTCGAGAGGTTTGACCTAGCGACGATATTACGGAATAAGGGTTCAGCAGCTCTGTGAGGCAGGACGCAGGTAGGGAATGCGAGACCAAAAAACACGAGATCCAAGGTTCAGTGAGACCGTAGCAGTTTTGGTTTGGGAGTTCCAAGCTCGTTGCCATGCCTCTTGTTACACATACAATAGCAGCTGCAGATCGCTTGGAAGTCGCACTTCAAAATGCAACATAACGTGAACAGAGCCATGGGAGCAGAGATTCCGGCAAGTAGGTCGCTTTTGAATCTGACGGCCGCCTAGAACACTTGGCGGGAAGATGGTGTGTCAGACGAGGTCCTAAAACCCAATAGCAGCTTCGCGTTTCCGTCAATCTTCGTAGGGCGGGATGCAGTGGAGTCAAAACCTGGCGAAAGACGATCTACGAAAATAGAAATGCAAACTACACAGGAAACTCGGTTTTCCCAGCGCCCGTTTCGTTCACAGTACACGCCTAACATCTCACTCACACTGGACCTCGAGCCCGCGGGCAGAACATGTCTAACGGGGTAGAGCCTGTTCAATGAACGACTCATAGCGCGCCAGTTCTATGTTCTGAATTTGTCAATTCGTCGAGCTACTAGTATCTTCGCGAGAGTTCGTGAAGGTGCTTCTCGGACTTGAGGAGTGTGCGAATTCTATACAGTTCGCGAAGGTGCTCCTCAAGTCCGAAATTACGAGGGTTGCGAACACGCCTTAAGCTCGAACCACATCCCCTCTCGTCCACTCCCGATACTTCTCCTTCCTCGCGCATTTCTTCATTTCTCTCCCACTTCTCACGCCATACCCTCTACTCTTCGCCGTAGGTTCATTTCCACAGACTTCACTCTAGAATAACTCACACGCTTCCTTTTCGCCGTCGATCCTAATCTCGCCCCGTGTACTGCACGTGCAACGCGAGCCTTACTTAATTACCCAGTAATCATGGACCCAGTAATCCGGGTATTCGTTAAGTACGCAAATAGCACCAACCATCAAAGAAGCGCCTACTGTAGATTCCATTCAGCTACTAGCTCGCAACCGTCCGACGTGTTATCCCACGTGTTGTATCTTGTTGCTCCCTTGGCTTCACGTAGTGCTGGTAATAGCTTTGTTGTTCCCTCGACTTCCCGTAGTACGAGCTCACAACTGTCAGACGTTTTATCCCGCGTGCTGTATTATGACCGCCGGAATCGCCACCACCTTCACCAGCCAGTTCCTCGGTCGGCCTGCTACCAGCGGCACTCTCTCGTTCCGTGCCTCCAATTCCCGTGCCTCCACTCGCACTCGTTGCGCTGCCGCCAAGTCTGCCATCAGTGATGGTTCGGATCGAAACAAGGCGGCTTCTCCCCGCGCCCACGGGAAGCCTGCCCACGGGAAGCCTGCCGTGTCGAGGCGGTCGCGCGGCGGCGAACTGGCTGCCGCCATGACCGCCGTGGCCGGGCCTCTCTGCGACTCGATTTCTCCCCCTTTGCACACTGTGAGGTTGGACCCGACCCTATCATTCGTTTTTCCACTCGGAGTTAAAATTCCCTCGGAGTTAAAATTCCCTCGGCTCCTACAAAAGGAAGCTGCAGCTGTTTATAATCGAAGTCCAGAAATCTCATGGCGCTCCGTTACCGTGGATAACTTGCTTCTCCGAGTTGATTCACCTCACCCGCAGGTGCTCGAATCTCCTCACCAGACTCGCCACGACATCATGGCGACACCCTGGGACTGGGGCACCAACGAGCAGCAGTCAACAGCGCCGTCGCAGGCACAGCCCAAGGCGCCGCATGAGAGCCTCGCGAGCAAGCTGTGCAACGCCATAGAGCGATGGCTCAACGCAACGGTCAAAGCGCCGCCCAGCAGGACATTCCTCGAGGGGAGCTTCGCGCCTGTGGAGAACGAAATCGGGCCAATCACTGACCTCCCTGTCACCGGCCATCTGCCAGTAAGTTCCTGCCACATATCTACTCCATCTGTTACCCTGCTGTCAGTCGTTCGTACCTCTCAGCCGAAGCGTGGCTTCCCTATTATGTATCCTGCTAGTACCTCCCCTCCCTCTCCTTCCCCCCCCCCCCCACGTAGCCCTCACCTTGCCACCCCGCTCGGCCGTGTCTCCTTGTGGTGCTGCTCTGCTGTGCTGTGTCCCCCACCCACAGGAGTGTTTGAACGGTGAGCTGCTGCGCAACGGTCCCAACCCCAGATTCACGCCCACCTTCAACTACCACCTCTTTGACGGTGACGGGTGAGTGAGTGTGAGAGACTCTTGAGGCTTTTGTGACTTTAGAGAGGCACCTGGTGAGATGATTCCCCAAACCCAGCTTCACGCCCACCTTCAACTATCACCTCTTCGACGGTGACGGGTGAGTGAGTGTGAGTGGCTCTTGTGGCTTTTGTGACTTTAGAGGCACCTGGTGATTCCCTAACCCCAGCTTCACGCCCACCTTCAACTACCACCTCTTCCACGGGGACGGGTGAGTGTTGAGTCGACTCAAGAGTCACTTTATGCAGAGCGACGTACCACTGCGTGCCGAGGGACGCACAAGCCCCCCTGGTTTTCCCCTGCCTTCTCAGTCCCTTCCCTCTGGTTTTCCCCTGCCTTCTCAGTCCCTTCCCTCTGGTTTTCCCCTGCCTTCTCAGTCGCTTCCCCCTGGTTTCATCCTTCCTTCTCAAACGCTCCGCCCTGGTTTTCCCCTCCTCCACCTGCTCTCTCCCCCCCCCCCCCCACCCCTCGCAGAATGCTGCACAGCGTGCGCATGAAGGGTGGCAAGGCCAGCTACGCCAACCGCTACGTGCGCACGAGCCGCTTCACGCAGGAAGACGCCCACCAGCGCGCCATGTTCCTCAAGCTCAGCGACCTCGTGGGGTACGCGGGGCTGGGCAGACTCCTCTTAGAGCAGCTGCGGTTCGGGCTGGGCGTTCTGGACGGGTCGCAGGGGAACGGCACGGCCAACACAGCTCTTGCCTTCCACGCGGGGCGGCTGCTGGCTCTGTATGAGGCCGATGTGCCGTATGTGATTGAGGTGAAGCCCGATGGGGATCTGGAGACCAGAGGCAGGATGACTTACGATGGGCGGCTCACACACCCGTTCACCGCGCACCCGAAAGTGGACCCGGTAACCGGCGAGCTCTTCACGTTTGGCTGTGAGCCTGATGCTCGCTTCCTGACCTACCGAGTGGTGTCCAAAGCAGGGGAAATGGGCCCTCCCGTGCGCATCTCCATCCCAGCGCCGACACTGATGCATGATTTCGCCATCACGGAAAACTACGCCGTGTTTCTCGACCTTCCGCTCGAGTTCACACCTCACGAAGTCATCAACAACAAGATGCCGTTCCTCTGGAACCCGGACCGGCCGGCCAGGTTCGGCGTTTTGCCTCGGTACGCGGAGAGCGAGGGGGAGATGCGGTGGTTTGAGCTGCCGCCGCTGTTCATCTTCCACACGGTGAATGCGTGGGAGGAGCAGACGGAGGGAGGCGAGACGGAGGTGGTGCTGATTGCGTGCCGCTACGACACGATCACCAGCTTGGAACCGGAGCCTGGGCAGGTTCCCATGCTGTACGAGTTCCGGTTCAACCTGGCAACGGGGGAGGCGTCTCAGCGCCAGCTCACCTCCTTCAGCTGCGACTTTCCGTGCATGCATGGCGGCTACACTGGCCGGTGAGTATCTGTGCCTCTGTGTTGTGTGTATGTGTGTTTGCTTGTGTGTGCACTGCATGCGTTTGTACGTGTGTATGTGCTTGTGCTTGTCGTGCTAGGTTGCATGGATATTCCATCTCGCTATTTGAAACTTTCATCTTGCGCGTGGCAAGAACAAAACGGGTGGTTTAGAGATTGCACACCATCTTCTTTCCCACTCACTCCCCCTACCTCCTCCTCCTCTTTTGCTTGCTTCCCCTTCCTGTCGCTTCCTACCCCCTCATTTCTCCACTTCCCCCCTTCCCCTTCCCCCCTCCTCCCCCTCTCCACCAATGCAGCAAGCAGCACTATGTGTACTGTGCGACCTTCGAGGGCGAGAGCATAAGTGGAGTGGTGAAGGTCGATCTCTCCAGGCCCCCAGACCTCTCAGCACCGCACCCCACCATCAGCGGCTGTGTCACAGGGCTCTTCAACCACGGGCCTGGCAGGTTCGGCTCCGAGCCTGTGTTCGTGCCTCGGAGTGACGAGCCTGGGGCAGAGGAGGATGACGGTTACGTGCTGTCATTCGTGTATGACAGCCACACAGGGTGAGTGGTGTTCTCTCATCCCTCGTTTCTACATTTATTTCTCTGCCTCCCATGCTTGCAACCTCTCTGCCTTGCAACCTCTCTGCCTTGCAACCTCTCAGCTGCTCCATCACGCATACCAGCCATGTCGATTGGCTCAAGACTACCATCTGTCATGGAATTCATCTCGCTTCCCCTCTCCATTTTCTCCTCCCTTTCCCAATATCTTGCCCCCTTTTATCACCATCTCCCCCTGTGCTTCCCCACGTTCTACCCCAACTGCTTCCACCGCAAGCAGTACATCGGAGGTGGTGGTGCTGGACGCAAGGACTCTCGCCCCACAGCCGGTGGCCACCATCCACCTGCCGCAGCGCGTGCCAGCCGGCATCCACGGCATCTTTGTATCCGAGGCATGTCGCATGTCGCATGCATGTCTCATGTCTCATAGCATCCATGGCATCTTTGTGTCCGAGGTGAGCTGCTGCTCGTCGCATGCCTCATGTCTCTTGTCTCATGCCTCATGTATCATGCCTCATGTCTCTTGTCTCATGCCTCATGCCTCATGCCTCATGCCTCATGCCTCATGCCTCATGCCTCATGCCTCATGCCTCATGCCTCATGCCTCATGCCTCATGCCTCATGCCTCATGCCTCATGCCTCATGCCTCATGCCTCATGTCTCATGTCTCATGCATGTCTCATGTCTCATGCATGTCTCATGTCTCATGCATGTCTCATGTCTCATACATGTCTCATGTCTCATGCATGTCTCATGTCTCATGCATGTCTCATGTCTCATGCATGTCTCATGTCTCATGCATGTCTCATGTCTCATGCATGTCTCATGTCTCATGCATCTCTCATGGCATCTTTGTGTCCGAGGTATGCTGCTGCGTGTCTCATGTCGCGTGTCGCGCGTCTCGCGTCTCGCATTCTCATGACTCATGACGCATTCTCGCACTCTGAGTCCATGAATGGCTGCAAGTCAGTGATTGGAAATGCATTTGCATTTTCTAGTCATGAAACCATCATTTTAAGTTTAGGCATCTCTATGCGCGTCTAACAACCACCATGCATTGTAAATTAACCGTATGTGCTCATGTGCCCCCATTTCGCCACTCGTGCTGCAGGATCAATTGTCTTTTCAGGTTTCATATTAGAATAAGGGTACATTCCTGTGTCGACACAAATATCTCAATCCCTGTTTTCCCGAGTCGCGTCGAAACATTTTGGGGATCTCACGTCACAAAAAAATAAATGTATCGCGAAACTAGGCGACCATGCGAAATGCACAGTTGGGCGCAATTGATTGGGTGGAAATTTTAATGTACACCCAAATCTTCAATCGCGCGGCTGTGGTGTGGTTTCGACACGCGGGATTCTTTCCCGCGCAAAATTGGCATTTCGGGACGACCAGGTGCATTGACATTTCGAACCGCATGCGATTTTTTAAAAATGACGAGTCGGTTTCCAATTCGTCAGCGACGTCAGCGCGTTTCACGCTGACCAATAAAAAATACAGTAATGGTCGCTAGAAAGCGACTCGCGTTTGAGACATTGTACGTTTTATGTCGTTTTTTCGCGTCACAAACGCTTTGAGACACAAATGTCGACACAGGAATGTACCCTAACTGACCATGTTGCACTCCTTTTACAGAATAGTCGTTATTGGAGCACAGGGTATAGCTGAGATGCTTTCCTGGATGGCTAGATGCCATTGCATGCATTAGGGGTACCATAGATAAGTATTGTACAGGAACCAGGGTTTTCTAATCAGAGTAGAATACTCTGAAGCTCATAATTTAGAGTGGTTCTAGGAGGCAAATCTGATGTCTTTTAAGTGTAAGGATTTTTATGCAAAGACAACTTGGGTGATTTCAGAAATGGTTTAACATCACAGCTAGTCTCGAGAATGTGGGTTTCGGCGAGAACCTTTTTGCTCCCCTTGAAATTGCCAGGTGGCACCTTTTTTGCCACTTGTTAGCAAACTATCCACCAGCGTGGCAGCAGTGTGAATGAGGAAGGGGGTGATTTCGGCAAATTCCGTCGAAATTACCATGTAGTTTCATCAAGGAAGTGATTTTCCCGATGTTATGCAGTACTCGCTAACAGATATACTAATAGAAAGTGAGGAGTCGTCGAACGATGAGGAGGAGAATGAAGAGGAGAGGAGGACGAGGGTGAGGAAGAGGAGGTGGGAGGTGGACAGGGATGTGTCAGAAACTATATGTAGAAACGTTAGAAACAGGAAAGAGCGTTTTCACTAGCAAGCAGTTGAGTGCATATAGCAAACCCTAATTCTGGTTGTACGGTACTCGCTATAGAGTACCCCACTGCAGGCTAGACAAATATCACATTCTGACACACCCCCATAGTCAAAGTGGGGTATAATCAGCACAGCAAGCAAACATAGAGCAGTAACACAAATACAAGCTAAGCTAGAGGCAGTCACAGAGGGCAAGTGAGGAGGAGGAGGAGAGACTGTGAGAGGAGTGGAGATAGAAGGCGACGGGTGAAGCCGCAGACACACGGGCAACAGGAACGGCGCGCACGGTCGCTACAGGAGCACTCAACCTCCGGACTACAGGAGTAACTGGCTCCGCGCTAAACCGCAGGAGCAACAGATTCACGGGCGACTGGCAGCAGCAGGCTCGCTGGGCTACCGGAGTACTCAACCCCCGGACTACTGGCGCTGCTGACGTCACAACGGCTACCTCCGGTCAACCTCCCCCAACTCTCACACCCCTTTCACACACTCCCTTCTGTACCCCTAGCACTGCTCATACGCCACCCCCCTCGTACCACTCCGACGGCTCCAACACATCCACCCCCCTCAGCGGCAGCTGCAGCAGTGGGAGACGGAGGAGGAGGATCAAGGGACGGCGCACACACCCGTCACCCCCATACTCGCCACGGGCAGCAACGGGGGCGGTGCTCGTGCTGAAGCAGGACGGCGCGCGGGTCGACGGGGGCAGGCGCGGAGGTCCCCAGGGGCGGCGCGCGGGTCCAGGGGACGGGCGCGCGGGTCGACGGGGACGGGCGCGCGGTGTTGAGAATGCTAGGCATGAATGAGTGCATTGAAAGAGAGTTGGGTACAAGTATCAAACCCTAGAGGGGTTGTACCCCATATGAGCTACCCCACTACAGCCTACACAAAAATAGCATATATAGTTTGACACACCCTCATAGGCAAAGTGGGGGAGAGCAAGGGGTCACAAGACCAGTCTAGAGAAGCAAAGCAAGCTCAGGGTGGATCACAACGTCACCACACACACTGAGCACAAGCAAAGGGCCACAAGGCCAGTTCACATGCAGAGGTATATATGCAACAGGAACAGCACAGTGATCACTACCTAGCAAGAGCAAACATGCAGGTATATATATATATAGACTACAGCAAGTGCGAGAACGTAGGCACAAGCCTAACAAAGTACAAAAGCGCTGATGATCACCAGACGGAAGTGCCTTGGTGAATATATCAGCAGTGTTGGCCCGAGTGGCCATGTGAGCAAGACGAAGCTGACCTCGCTGCTGTAACTCTCGAGCCAGGAAGTAACGCAGAGCGATGTGCTTCGTTCTGTTCTCCAGTCTGTGCTCCTAACACAAGGCAATGGCGGCCTTGTTGTCGACGTACAGAACTGGAGGAGAACGAGGCCTCTCTCCCAAGTCAGTCAGCAGGTAGGTGAGCCAGCGTAACTCCTGTGCAGCCATGGCTGTGGCGTAGATCTCAGCCTCACAACTGGAGCTGAGAACAGAAGACGAGCGCGTAGACCGCCAAGAAACAGAGCCAGAGCCAAGGCTGAACGTGTAACCCTGTGACAACTGCTGCGTAACCTGGTCGTCAACCCACGACGCGTCAGAGTGTCCAGTGAGGACAACGTCGCTCCGTCCTCCAAGCACGAGCCCCATGCCCGACGTACTGCACAGGTAGCGCAACACCCTCTTCGCAGCATCCATGTGCACCTTTCGGTGCCGACCAAGAGCCACGTAGCGAGCCAAAAGGCCAAGAGGGTACGCGAGGTCAGGTCGAGTGCAGGTCATCAGGTACATGAGGCAGCCCGCTAGCTCTGCGTAAGGACCACTCGACTCTACGGACTCGTCCGAAGGTGGAGCTGAGAGCGAGTGACCTGTAGCTAGAGGAGTGGACTGTGCGGAGGACCAGGAGAAGCCGAAGCGCTGAAGGACCTGCTGCACCATGTGTGACTGAGTTAGTGTGATGGTGCGACGTGCTCTGTCCCGGGTGATCTGCAAGCCAAGGTAGCTGTGCAGCTCACCCAGGTCAGTGCACGTGTGTCTCTTCTGCAGCTCCGACTTCACCAGGGCGAGAGCCTTAGTGTCAGCAGTGGCAAAGACCAAGTCGTCGACGTACACGAGGATCTAGAACGGCGGCAGTAAAGTGTCGGTGCGCAGAAACAGCGACGGGTCAGCTGTCGAAGGTGCAAACCCAAGAGCCGCAAGTGTAGTCCTCAGTGTGTCGTGCCACTCACGAGGCGCCTGGCGGAGACCGTAGACTGGCCGCCGGAGGCTCCACTGGGTACTAGGAGGGAACGACCCAGTGAAGCCAGGTGGGCGGCGCAGCCAGATCTCCTCGTGCAGGCTGCCCTGTAAGAAGGCTGTGCTGAAGTCAAGAGAGTGAAGCTCGTAGTCACGCTGAGCGGCAACGTGCAGCAGCACCCGAAGAGTGGTCATCTTCGGGGTAGGGGAGAAGGTCTGGAAGAAGTCAACTCCCTCACGCTGACTGAAGCCTCTAGCAACGTAACGAGCCTTGAAGACAGGCGGAGAACCTGGCGGCCGCTTCACCCTGAAAATCCACATGCCATCAACGATGTTCGCCCCAGGAGGGGGAACCTCATCGACGTAAGTGCCTGTGGACTTCCAGGATGCCATCTCTGCGTCCATGGCTGTCTGCCACTGAGAGGAGTACTCACCCGCGATCGCCTCAGCGTAAGAGCGCGGGGTCGGGATGTTTGGTGCATCCGGGTCTCCCTCAGGGGCAAGCAGCATGGCCACGAGATGAGGCGCAGCGGCTGCAAGACACTCAAGGTCCTCATGCCTGTCCTCAGAAACGTCCGTGCTAAGAGCACACTCACCTCCGACGGACGGAGGACAGACAGACTCAGACTCAGCAACAAGACTTGCAGCGTAGTCTAGACGACAGGCAGCAGCAAAGTCAACAAGCTCAGCGACCAAGGCAGACGCAGCAGCAGACTCAAACGACGGGTCAGTGACAACAGTGGCTAACAGACGCGTGACAGTAGGGTGTGCAGCACGAAACTGGTTAGAGGCAGGGTCTGGAACGTCAGGCAGAGAAGACGCAGGAGGGGACGGCAGAGGAACACGCTGCGGAGCAGAGGAAGGACGCAGAGCCATGAGGTGTGTGCCGGGGACAGCCGGCGGACGCTCACGAGGAACACGACGACCAGTACGACCAGTGCGACCAGTGCGAACAGGCGAGACAGGACGCGACGCAGACTCACGACGCTCAGCAAGACCTCCAGGCTGCTCAGTGTAAGGAGAAGGAGCAGGCAGCGGTGAGCCAGGCTGTAACGGAAGACCGATAGATGACGGGAGGCCAAGAACCTGGCGAAGTACAGTGTCAGGAGGTGGCAGAGATGACGGAGACGGTAGAGCAAAGAACAGTCGTGGCTCTGTAGTGCCACCAGCACCAGCAGCTCCAGCACCTCCAATAGCTCCAGCACCTCCAGCTCCAGCACCTCCAGCACCAGCTCCAGAACCTCCAGCGCCAGCACCTCCAGGACCAGCGTCACCAGCAGCAGCACCCCCAGAACTAGCACCTCTAGTCCCAGGGACTCGAGCCTCAGTGTCTCTAGTAGCAGCACCCCCAGAACCAGTACCTCCAGTCCCAGGGTCTCCAGCCTCAGTGTCTCCAGCAGCAGCACCCCCAGACGCAGCACCTCCAGCCCCAGCAGCTCCAGTACCTCCAGTACGAGCACCTCCGGGACTAGCGACTCCAGCACCTCCAGCAGACAAAGTACCAGCACCACTCCCAGCTCCAGCGACGACAGCAGAAACACCTCCAACTGCAGAGCCCCTAGCTCTAGC